GTTGCACCGCTACGACATAAAACTTCCTAATTTCACGAGCCTGCTTTATGGAGTAGGCGAACACAACACAAAAATTGTCGCTTTCTTTTCCTAAACTTAGATAACGATAGATAGGGTCCCAAAGAAAAATTCGCCATGATTTGCCAAATTAAATGAAATTGAATAAGATCGGTAAAGTTTGAAGTAGTGCGAACAGACTTTTAAGTAACTTTATCGGTTTGCCGTCATCCAAAAATTTTGCTACCTTGGCAACGTGACGTAACTCTTTATAGAGTGTTTTCACTCACGTGGCCAGCATATATGCAAATTTATTGTAACAAAAGAAAGCGTTTGTATAAGAAAAGAGTTCAACTCTTAAGGAACTGGTTTAGGACACCAACATGGCCGCCGTTTCATTGTTTTGGGACACCAATATGGCCGCCGTGACGTCATTTGAAAACACTCTAATGGTTGAGGAAATGGCGCGGTTTTTGTAAAAAAAAAAATCCAATTACAAGCGGATTCATTGCATAGCCAAATCAAGTGCTTACCTAGTTCCTACACAACGATTACAAAAAGAAAACGCTCCCCCTGCTCCCGATTGTCCCAAGGTAAATCTCATTGCCACCGATCTAAGGCCTACTGTGGGGCCTTAAGTCGCCGTAACTAGCCGCTGTAAATATGTCATCCTATTTTTGTAAGTAGTACGTAATTAAGTTGTATTATTCTTCTTTTTTCCTGTATCCTAGTTTATACTGTAGTTTATTTTGTAAAATCGCGTCATCCTTTCCCAATGTTATGTCTACTTAAACTAATCTAGGGGAAGCCTGGACCTGGTATAAGTGCCAGGCTTCCAGTTCAGGCTTCCCAATCAACGTAACAATTGATTTGTTTTGTCGTGTTCTATGGTTTGTTTTTGTTATTTTCACTGAATAATCTTTTTCACCATTGTATAATTTTTCATTTAATTTTTGCAGGCGATGGAGTTCAGTAACCCTCTATACGCTCCACACCTTCACCAACATGTACGTATCCTGAGTTGGTTGACGTTTACTTTTTCAACCTGCAAAGGTTCTCTGTCAAAACCGGGAAGATAATGGCTTTCCTGCATGATCCAGAAGTCATTTGTCGATGAACTTTGTTGGTTTTTGAGGGCCCATTTTTTGTCTTTAAGTCTCAGTTTATTTATTTATTTTTTATAGATACAGACATTCAATATACCACAAAAATGATAGTTAGAGATTAAAGAGATTTAGAAGTGGTTTTCTGGCGAGGAAACTCAAATTGAAACCTTGGGGCATATTAGATGAGCTCCCCCCCTAACCTAAGACTATAAATATAATAAGTAAATAGGCGGCGAAATAATGCTGAAATATAATTAGGATAAAATGCAAGCAAAACAAAACATACTAAAGGACAAAAAAAAAACAGGCAAAAAAGCGATAGGTTAAGATTAGCAAAACAACAACTTTGCACGTTCATCACGCTTTTTTGTACATTTCTTTGCCGTCGCTGCACGACTACAACGTGAATGTGCCTAATTTCACGTTTAGTCGAGGACGTGAACAAAAGACGACTTTCTTTTTTTTTCTGAACTTCGATAGTCTTTTAGAATTCATCTCCAGAAAATTTGCCAATATTTGACGAATTGAACGAGTTGGAATAAGCGCGAAAAACGTTTGAGGCAGCGCGAATTCACTTTTTGAGTGACGTTTTCGTAACCGTCGCCCGCGTCGTTGTTGCTTAAGGTCAATTTCATCGCGGATGAATCCGTGACTGTTGTTTTCAGCTGTTAATACACAATAAGCTCGCCAAACGTTAGGTCCATTGCTTACAATGGCCTCATACCAAGATCTCAAAAGAACCTTCAGTTTGCCCGAGAAGCTAGTTTACCTTGAGAGAATGTGTGCACAATCTTTTGTAAGGCATGAAAATAGTTCCTTCAAAACTATTTGGAACGTCAAAGCCCTGTAGTCGTTCGTTTTGGCTGAACGCGACAAGGAGATATTTTCAATAGGGGAGCTAAGAAAGTAGGAAATAGGATGAAAAAGGTCTGAACGGTAATGCACTTGTTTGGGCTCAGAAAATTTTGATTAATAGTTTTAAAGAGAGAAAGAATGCTTTATCGACGTTGTAAACTTTCATCCGTTTTTGTTGTCATCAGGTGTTATTTCCAGTAGCAAGTATGAGAAGACTTGATCTGTGGACTCGTTATTATATTCGCTGGAATCCTACAATGCAACCTCAGGTATGTCATACCTCTGCCTGTAGTGCATGCATGTGAATCTGTTGAAAAGTTCGATCTTGAAAGCAGTTGTTGGTTTTTGTTTGGTTTTGCAGGAATCAGAGGAACAGAGAAGCCGAGAATTGCACTTTCTTTGCGAACAGGTACCCAAAGAATATCCCAGTATTGGAAGAAATTTCATACCTTTTCAATTGGCAAATGTATATTTCGCCGGCTCTTTTCATGAACAGTTTAGACATTTTTTTTTTCTTTTTTTGTAATAATTTTAAATAGAGTGCAGTCTCTGAGAAAACTTACTTTCATTTCTTGCTAATCGTTATTTTTACAAATGAGTCCTTTCACAGCTGAAGATCACCTTTTTACAGTGAGACAGAAGGGGGTGGGGGGTGGGGGGTGGTTACCATTCAATAAGGTATGGATTTTCTGTAGCCGTGAAAACCATTTCCATCCCCGTCCACGTTGTCTTTGTTTCAAGCTTAACTCTTCTTCACAAATTGGTTACTTTTCAGCTGCGTCAAAAGTGCGAAGAACTGGAACGAGAGATCCTGGCTCGTTCATCAGTGGAAGTGCCCACCACACCAGATTCCATGTCCGTTAAAAGCAACCAATCACAACAGTGGGCTCAGTCTTCGGCCGTGTGAATACTACTTGAAATGATCAAAGAGACTATATACAAGTCTCTGTGGACTCCACCGCGGCCTAGCATGTTTAAATGTGCTTTAGTTTAGCCACGTTTTAATCCCCTATATGGAACATTTTGAACAAAAACTTTTATTCGACATGCCTGCTTCATGTCCAAAAATACTNATACCTCTGCCTGTAGTGCATGCATGTGAATCTGTTGAAAAGTTCGATCTTGAAAGCAGTTGTTGGTTTTTGTTTGGTTTTGCAGGAATCAGAGGAACAGAGAAGCCGAGAATTGCACTTTCTTTGCGAACAGGTACCCAAAGAATATCCCAGTATTGGAAGAAATTTCATACCTTTTTCTGCAATTGGCAAATGTATATTTCGCCGGCTCTTTTCATGAACAGTTTAGACATTTTTTTTTTCTTTTTTTGTAATAATTTTAAATAGAGTGCAGTCTCTGAGAAAACTTACTTTCATTTCTTGCTAATCGTTATTTTTACAAATGAGTCCTTTCACAGCTGAAGATCACCTTTTCACAGTGAGACAGAAGGGGGTGGGGGGTGGGGGTTGGTTACCATTCAATAAGGTATGGATTTTCTGTAGCCGTGAAAACCATTTCCATCCCCGTCCACGTTGTCTTTGTTTCAAGCTTAACTCTTCTTCACAAATTGGTTACTTTTCAGCTGCGTCAAAAGTGCGAAGAACTGGAACGAGAGATCCTGGCTCGTTCATCAGTGGAAGTGCCCACCACACCAGATTCCATGTCCGTTAAAAGCAACCAATCACAACAGTGGGCTCAGTCTTCGGCCGTGTGAATACTACTTGAAATGATCAAAGAGACTATATACAAGTCTCTGTGGACTCCACCGCGGCCTAGCATGTTTAAATGTGCTTTAGTTTAGCCACGTTTTAATCCCCTATATGGAACATTTTGAACAAAAACTTTTATTCGACATGCCTGCTTCATGTCCAAAAATACTCAGAAAAATATAAAGAATTCTTTCTGAGTAAGAAATTATTTTGAAGATAGTATGGAAACGTGGACTTCAGACTGATCAGTCAATGTTATGTTGAAAAACTTCGTTTATGTAAACTAGCTTTCATTTGTTCAGAGATTATTGAACTTTGTTATAGATAAATGGGTAGAAAGAATGCTAATTAACATATAATGTCATTTTACATTCATTTGGTTAGGAAATCTTGCTTTTAACAGATATATAGATTACGAATTTTGACGTTGAACTGCTTCTACGATATATAATTATATGATTCTGTATTTGTGCAAAAGTAATTAAATAAAGTTGCCTTCTTTGAAGATTTCCCTCAAATATCAGACTCAGCTACACTTTCTCAGTCTTCTTAAGCTAAAAAAGTAAAAATAAATCAGTTGCAAATATTCTTAAATCACGAGAACGCCTCTGATTAAATGTCAAGGCGAAGCATATATTATTTACAAGCTACTACCTAATCATACATTGTGAACTAAAACGATGCAAAAAGGTTCCTATGGATGCAGAAATGCTGTATCATAAAGAGGCTGTCTTTTGGCTCAACAATTTCAAGAGCGTCCACTCCCCGCCCCCTCACCCCTTGGGGGCTTTTTCCATCAAAAGTCTGTTCTAGGGGTGTGTGGTATCATTATTTTCCTCAGAGACGTCTTATCGCAGCCCAACACTGATCAGTCGATTGGCTAATGACCGGTGTCCGTTGGTGTTGAACGCGACGCCATTACCATCTGAACCATTAGCGGCTGTGCGAAAGTACGGCGACGTGAAATCACCACACCAATCACTGCATTCCTTGTAACAACCTCGTTCAGATACTATTATTTTGCGGTAACCAGACACGAGGAAGCCAGAGTAAAATTCATTATCACAAATCAACAGTTGATACTCGTAATCATCATTCATTGATCCGAAGCCGTGCCATAATCCATAGGTATCAGCTCTGTTGCCATAGTTACCATCGACCTTTATCTTTGTAACGCCTGCGTTTGTGAAGTAGGACTTGTTCCCAGTTTGGTGATCAATAAAGATAATTTCACTAAACTTGGGAAAAAACAGAAATAATTAATTAACAATTAATGAATGAGGCTGAGTATCTTATGAAGCATTATGGAGATCGAGGTGGGTGTATTTCGAGATCTCCATAATTCTTCATATGATACAAACGGCCAATTCAATAATTGTTTTATTATTCATTCAAAACAATTCCTTGTTTAAAAACATAGCTAAAACATGCGCACCTCCATCGATGTTACGTTCATCTTCGAGAGACTCGTAGTGCACGTTTAGGGTTGTACAGCCCCGCAAATATTCTCCAAATAGCAGATGTCGCCGTTCGAGTTGTCTTCTTGCTCTTCTTGCCATGTTTTTGGCAATTATTTAGCCTAGTTCTTACTCTTGAAACGAATGAAATGTCCGACATTTTTGTTTTCATAACCAAAACAACTCAACCTCGTCCCCAGGTCTTCTCGGTTAACGGTGCATTAACCCGCAAGGAAGCTGCACTTTTGACGTCATCGGTTGATTAATCGCAAAATTCTTCCAAATTTGGTCATCAGTAGCTGGTTATGGTGAATTATGCGTGTGCTTTTAGCCAATCAGAATCGGGAAAATATTTTGAATGAGTGATAAGGAATGTTAAGTCTATTCAAAAATGGTTGTTTTGGTTCTCTTTTGGGCACTGGATTTTCTCAAAGGAACTATTCTCATGACAGCAAAATAGCTTGAATTAATCCGACTATCTACACATACAAAGGCAGAACCTTAGCTTCTGTCCTGTGTTCTGTATATGCCCCGAATATAAAAACCATATATGGGAATATACCCGACGTCGATAATCGAACAATCGAGCTCAATCAGTCGGATCTTTGTTCGATTGGTTCGGTGATCGAACATAATCGAACTGAAACTTTTCGGTGAGTTCTCCGGATTACCGAACTGCATCGAACCAATCTAACTCAATCGACGCGCTTAGTTCGATTTTGTCCGGCAGAAAGGCAAAACGCATGCAGTTTCAATTGAAACGTAAAGATCTCTCTCTAGTATGCAAGTTAGAAAACAAAAATATTTCAAAGAACTAACTCAAATAACTTTACGAAGGAACTACGGTTGTTTATCAACGTGTTCGTCGTTTCAATTCCACATGAATAAGAAAGAAAGTGTAATATACGAATTCGAAATGGATTTTAAGAAATGTTTTTGTTGCTGTTTTAATCTCAGCAATGACGACATAATTTCTGTTTTATCTAAAAATGTTGTGTTGTGTTTTGTGACCACCTCCAGGTCTGAAAACGGGTATGGATTTTAGACGCCAGGACTGAAAATGACATTTTTTGGTCTGAAATAGGGTCAGGATTTTAAGAACCGGGCGGCACACCAAGCCAAGAATTTCCAGGAGTATCCCTCCCGGGAGATAGGGATACTCTAACTTCAAGATAACAATCTAAATTTTTGAAGGTTCACCACAAAATGGAATACTTTGTATGATTAAATATCAATTAAACAAACTGAGAAAGAACTCTTTACGAGCGCGAGCAGTGGTGCAACTCAAGCCTGCGTTAAACTCATCGCTAATAATGAGCTTAGGAGCAGGTGCCTTGAAGGTTAGTGGGAGGCCAAATGCAATAAGCAGAGAGGAGGTATCCATGGCAACCCTGGAAGCGGGAGCCACCCCAAGAGCGGCCACTAACCGGCACCGTCACACTGAATAAATTCAGTGGAGATACTTACCTGAGAAAACTGATGATTTACCAAACCACCAGGCAGAGAGGGAGGAGAGGGAGCAAGAATCCGCAATGATTCGCAAGAAGGCAAAAATTGATCCGCTACGATCAGCAAGCTACAATGCAAAGCAACACTAGAAAAAGGGCACACAAGGAGCCCTGCAATTCCCCGCGGGCCGCCCCGTAGGTCACATACAGAAGTGGGAGAAGACCGCTGGCCAACTCGCTCGAGTTTAACTTTACCTAAATGATATCTAGCCACATAAAACAGCTGTCTCAGTCCTGGCGAAAAGTCCTTAGCGGGGAGGAACGAGGAGAGAAGGCTGCCTCTACACCACCTCGCAGTTTTTTTTCTGCCGAAACATCTCTTTGCGCCGTCTGCCCCGTTCCCACGATCTGAACGCTTGGAACAGGCTACTTATGCAGGTTATGGAACAACTGTCATAACAATGAATAACAAACTTTACTCCTGGCTGATTTCCGGTCATTTGAATTAATTGTGTTAAAAAAAACGGTACCGCGCATGAGCCTAAGTGTAGGAGTATTTAGTAATACATCAGTTATGGGCTCCTGACAGGTGCAGCACGGTCTCTTTAGCACAATGATTTCGGGAAATCGGCCGCGAATACAGATTGTTTTGACAGTTGCACCACCATAACAACAAACAACAACAACAAATTTTATTGAGGTTCAACATATAACTAACAACATTATTTTCCCACCCACGAATAGCTTATAAACTAATTGCGGAGGGGGGAGGAAGGACATCTTTACAATACAAGGTTCATCTATTGCCGGTTTACATGTGAGATCACGGCGCCCACGTTGGTGGTCAAGAACAAAAGCATTTTTCTCCTCTGGGAACTAAGCTCTATTTTCATGTAAATTTTTCGAGAAAAAATTCAATTGTATTGACCCCCAACATAGCCTCCTTGTTACGTGTTTGCAAACCAAGAATTAGATGGACTAAACAACAATACAATACAATCAATAGAATACTCTAATAACGTAAAACAAAGTACCGTATTTATTCGAATAAGCGCCCAACCTCGAATTAGCGCCCACCTCGAATAAGCCCCCATCCTAAAGGCAGAAAAACTTATTATTATTCCTTCAAAATATGTCCCTAATTCTGATTGGCTAGAAGCACTCGCATAATTCACCATAACCAGTTACCAGTTGTGTTTAACGAGGAAATGACGTCAAAAATGAAGCCTCTACGGGTTAATGCACCGTTAACCGAGAAGACCTGGGGAGTTGAGGTTGAGTTGTTTTCTTTGTGAAAACTAAAATGGCGGACACTTCACTCGCTTCAAGAGTAAGAACTACAGCTGGAACTAGGCGAAATAATGGCTAAAAACATAGCAAAAACAGCAAGAAGACAATTCGGAGGGCGACATCAGCTATTTGGAGAATATTTGCGGAGCTGGACAAACCTAAACGTACACTATCGAAGATAAACTTAACATCGATGCAGGTAAGCATGTTTTAGCTGTGCTTTTAATCTAGGAATTATTTTAAATGAATAATAAAGCAATTAACAAATTCGGCTCTCGTAGCATATGAAGAATTAAGCAGATCTAGAAGGGAGTTATCCATCTCGGCCTTCAGCCTCGGTGGATAGCACCCTCCTCGATCTTCTTAATTCTTCATATCCTACTCAGCCTCATTCATTAATTGCTAAATAAGGGCCCAGCCTCACCCCACGGCCCTCCCCTTCCAACTCAAACTCAATAAGTGCCCACCCCTACCCCAACCCTACCCCCTTCCCCCTCCGACGCACAAAAAATTAAATAATAAGTGCTAATAAGAGACTTCCACGAAGACGGATACGCGTTTTCTTCAAAGTATTTTACAGAAACCTTGCATTGTTACATCTTCGCGTTTTGTTATGAGCATTTATTGTTTGGTTCCAAAAAATGCATACTACACTTGCTGAAAATGGTGAAAATTTGATAAGCGCCCAGCCTCAAATAAGGGGCCACCTCGAGTAAGCGCCCACTCTCAAGGTCCAAAAATTCATAAGCGCCCAGGGCAATTAATTGAATAAGTAAGTATAAAGACTGCTAAGATAAGAATATAATTTGTTCAAAAACTTGATATATAATTAGGTGTGTAAAGAGTGAAGAGTTCTTTTCCAGTTTGTTTAACTGATATGTAAAGTTACAATATTATTTAGAGATGCAGCATCAACAATGTAACGCCCAATGTGTCATTACTCTAACAATAAAAAACCTTCTTATTTCACCAACTTGAGAATGGATTCTTTATCGATTCACTAAATCCACTTACGTTAATATGGTTGCAGTTCGTTCTGTACCCATCCGTTCCATAAGGAAGCTCAGGATTGTAGGTGACTTCAGTCTTGGGTTTGGTAAATTCATCAGTTGTGTAACACATGGTCCATCCTCCATTGTATGACGTCATGTCACAGTACGCCAGGAACGCGTTTGAATGGTTTCCTCCATCAGGGTCTAACCAATACATAGCGTCTTCGGAAAAATTACTTTGCTTCTTCCAATCCTGGCAGTCAAACCTGACTGAATTTTAAACATTTTCACGTGACTATAAGTTTATATGGAAATCAGAGTGAGAAAAGGTTTCAAAAATTTACCTCCTCGAGAGTGTTTTGATATAGGGTTTTAGGGACCTTAAGTTCCCAGAACGGCGATAGCTTAAAGGTGAATTCGTCATCGTTGTTATTCCAATTAACTTTCTTTGTCAAATGTAGGCGAACTCTTCTGGAGTCAAGAGAGAGTAAGAGAAAGAAAATTTTGTTGTTGCTTGTTTCCATCCTCCATAAAACTTTCACGTCTTAGGTCTTGCAGGTGACGGCAGGATAAAGAAATGTACATAAAAAGTGTGCTACACGTGCAACGTCGTTACTAATTAACCCTATTGCTGTTTTGATGTTCTCGTTGCCGTCGCTGACTCGCCGCCGTTGTATCTCAAGGTCCCTATAAGGTTTCATACTCCAATGACTTGAATATCTATCTTACTTTTCCTTCATCCCGCCCTCTCTTTACTTTTGTGGTCAGTGTAGGGACTTTCACAACCTTACAGCCTGATTGCATAATTTCACACTTGTAGAGTATTTGTGAGTAAGATATAAAGGTAGAGAGGCAGTCTGGCCCGCTGGTCCACACGTAACCGAAATTCAACTCCCCAACTGGATACAATTCCATCACAGGGTTTCCCCCCCCCCCCCCCCCCCCCCCCCCCCCCCCCCCCCCC